GTCAGAGGCTGCCTGAGCCTCTTGGCTGCCCCATGTGACTAGCTTGGGCTTCCCTCACAGTATGGTGGTCTCAGGGCAGCTGGACTTTTAAAATAGTGGTTGGCTTCCCGAGAATAAACATGCCAAGAGCTCCAGATGGAACCTTCAGGGCTTCTTATGACTTAGATGTGGGAAGTCATACAGCATCACTTCTGCTGAATTCTACTGATCAAAAAGTGAGCCAGAGGCCATCCCAGATTCAAGGGCATGAATACTGGAAGGCATGGTTCATGGCTGGCAGAGGTGGGAGCAAGAGGCATCTTTGGAGACTGGCTACCATGCTAGCTATAGGACTGTGGACTTAACTTCTTTGTGTCTCAGTCTTTTCTCCTATAGAATGGGAGAGCAGTTCCTACCTCATACAGCTTTTGTAAGGAGCATATGCATTAATAATATATGGAAAACACTTAACAATGCACCGTGCAAGTGTCAGCTATATTATTAGCACTCAAAAGAGTAAGGAGCAAACCTTTTCTCTAATCAATCTCTGTATCCCAATGTCTATGAAATGTTTTGTGATCATGAGCTGCTCTCTATGGGAAGTAAGAGAAGTACCCTTTCTCCAATTAAAAAAAAAATCGTTTTTTATCTAAAAGTCTAGGTTGGTTTAAAGTTTGGGTAGAAGCAGCCATTTCTCACGATCGAGTATGCATTTAAGGTATTAACACAAACTAAAGATATCTTCCAGGGCTTGGCAAATGCCATTCTGAGTCATGGTCATGACGCACTCACAGTAGGGGCAGAAGGAGCCACACTCATGGTGTGGAATTTCCTGTGGCACTGGCGGAAAAGGAGTCTGAATGTGTTTGTCAGCAAACTTCCCCGAAACAAAAAGAAACCAGGATTTCCTGTTGGAGGCCCAAGAAGCGAGTGATGTCCAGGACCTCACAACCCAACCTCAGACTGGCCTTAGCTCTGGCCAGAAAACAGGGTCTGCCAACACATTCATCAGCAATCAGCCCCAGGCACTGGGGATGCACCCTTTTCTGTTGTTGCCAAATTCAAACAAAGCTCAGAGACAAGTCATTGAGCTCAAGCTCTAAATATAAAAATGGCTTCATGATCCGAGCCTGTGGACATAAGTAAATTCTACTCTACAGAATTCCTACAGAATTCTCTACCATGTCATCCTCTACCTCATACTCCTCAGTATTCCATGCAGCCTCCAGGATAAACCCAGTCTCCTGACGTGTGCATCCACCCACCACATACACACACTCCAGCCACAGGCATGACTCACATTCCTCCAAAGGGTTCTGAGCTCACACATCTTCCCGTTCTTGCAACCTCCTTCCATTGTCTCGAGGAGAATAACAATAGTTAAGGGAGCCAGGTTATCTTTCCCTTGACTGTGCACCAGACAGGTACTGTGACAAGATGTCACATCAACTCACTTTATCCTCACCTCATCCTGTACGGCCCTGACCTTGCGGGTTGATGAACTCACACATTTACCTGGAGTCTCTGATCAAGAAGAGCTGCATCATATGGTCAGACATACAGAGCAATGAAATAGAACTGAGAGTCCAGAAATAAACCTCCACATTTACAGCCAACTGATTTTCAATAAGGGTGCCAAGACAATTCAGTGGGGAAAGTACTGTCTTTTCAACAAATGGTGCCGGGACAACTAGATACACACATGCGAAAGAATGAAGTTGGGCCCTAACGTCACACCATATACAAAAATTAACTTAAAATGGATTAACGACCTAAATGTAAGTGCTAAAACTATAAACCTCTTAGAAAAATATAGGAGTGAATTTTCATAAGCTTGGGTTAGGACAAAAGCAAAAGTGGCAAAAATTTAAACAGATAAATTAGACTTCATTAAAATTAAGAACTTTTAATGCTTCAGACTAGACCATAAAGAAAGTGAAAAGACAACCCAGAAAATGAGACAAAATATTTGCAAGTCATATATTTGACTAGTACATAGGACATATAAAGAATGTTAAAACTTGGGCTTCCCGGGTGGCGCAGCAGTTAAGAATCCGCCTGCCAATGCAGGGGACACGGGTTCGAGCCCTGGTCCGGGAAGATCCCACATGCCGCGGAGCAACTAAGCCCGTGTGCTATAACTGAGCCTGTGCTCTAGAGCCCGCGAGCCACGACTACTGAGCCTGCATGCCACAACTACTGAAGCCCACATGCCTAGAGCCCGTGCTCAGCAACGAGAAGCCACCGCAATGAGAAGCCCGCACACCTCAACGAAGAGTAGCCCCTGTTCGCCACAACTAGAGAAAGCCCGCACACAGCAACGAAGACCCAACGTAGCCAAAAATGAAAATAAATAAATATTAAAAAAATAAAGAATGTTAAAACTCTACAATTAAAAGACAAATAATCCAATTAAAAACGGGCAAAGCCTCTATATATACATTTCTTCAAAGAAAATATAGAAGTGGCCACAACGCACATGAAAAGATGCTCAACATCATTAACCATTAGAGAAATGCAAATTGAAACCACAGTGAAATACCCCTTCATACCTATGAAGATGGCTCTAAGCAAAATGACAGTGTTGATGAGAATGTGGAGAAACTGGAACCCTCGTACACTACTGGTGTATGAAAATATAAAATGATGCAGTCACTTTGGAAAACAGTCCGGCAGTTTCTCAAAACATTAAATACTGAGTTACCATATGATTCAGCAATTCTGCTCCTAGATTTATAGCCAAGAGAATCAAGAACATACGTTTTCTCACTCTCTTTTGTTTTTGCCTGTGCCCTGCGCCATGTGGGATCTTAGTTCCCCGACCAGGGATCGAACCCACCCATGGCCCCTGCAGTAGAAATGCAGAGTCTTAACCACTGGACTGCCAGGGAAGCCCCAAGAATGCACATTTTCACAAAAACTCATACCTGAATGACCATAGCAGCATTATTCAAAATAGCCAAAAAAGTGCAAACAACCCGAATGTTCACCAACTTATGAATGAATAAAAAGTGGTACAGCTGTATGATGGAATTTTTATTCAACCATAAAAAGGAATGAAGCACTGTTAGACTCAGATGAACCTTGAAAACATTATGCTAAGTGAAAGGAGCCAGACGCAAGGGCCACATGCTGTATGATTCCATTTATATGAAATGTCCAGAGTAGGTGAATCCAGAGACAGAAGGTAGATTAGGGGTTGCCAGGGTCTGGGGGGAGGAGAATGGGTAGCGATTGCTAATGAGAACAATGTTTCTTTTTGGGGTGATGAAAATTTTCTAAAATTCATTGTGGTGATGGTTGCACAACTCTGTAAATATACAAAAACAAACAAACAAAAACCCAGTGAATTGTTCAGAGAGAGAGAGAGAAAATGCAGATTTTTTAGAAAAGGGGAAGAAGAGTCCCTTCCCTTAGCAGCTTTGCTGACAGCCTACTTCCCAGACCCCACTTCTTGTTCAGAACTCCTGTAATGCACAGGGTCAGAGTGGCTTGTTTGCAGGTCCATCCACCCCAGCCAAGTGTGCGCACCAGGGCCAGGGGCTGTGCCTCATTCCTTTTGAATCCACGACAGTGCCTGGCACCCAGCAGGCAATCAATATAAATGTGTGTTGAATGAATAGTCTCTAGCACACCCCTACTATTACCCATTGCTTTTTATACCATCACTTCTAAAATAAAGGAGTGCCAAAAAGATCACACACACAATATCTGTCCATTATTTTAAAATTCTTTTTCCACCAAATATTTTTTAAACCGGATGATCAATTAGTGTTGCCCCTTTTCCACTTCCACAGAGACATGTGATTTCAAAATTTAAAAGCTAATTATCAATAAAATGACCGAGGTACAGGGGAAAAAGGTAAAAACGCTTAGCTAAACACAGCATATTCAGTCCCTGACCAACAAATTCCACATTTCAAATAACTTGACAAAAATTTCCCCTACTCTGAGACAGAAGACTTTAAGAGGCAAGAAACCAATACCAACCAATATTAAATTCAGCCTTTGAAAACTCTGGCCTATACCACCACCACCACATTGAGATGGTGAGAGTAATAACAACAGCTCACACTTACTGAGCACTTTCTATGTGCTAGGCTGGGTATTATTTTCTGCTTTCTAGGTATTAACTCAGTTACAACAGCATTATGTGGTAGGTACTATTATTACAGAGATTCACAACTTTCCCAAGGCTGCATGGCTGGTAGATGGCTGAGCTAAACTGGAACCCAGGAAGTCCAATTCTCCTGCCTGCGTGTTTCCCGCTATATGACATAGGACAGCCCACAGGGACTTCAGTCCCTTGACTGGACCTAGGAAAGCAACATGTTTGACTCTGGGTTTACAGACTGAATAGTGTAAGTTCTAAAAAAGGGCCTCAGAAAAAAACATGAATATGCAGGAATTGAAATCCATGGGTGAATATCTGATACTTGAAAGTCTATTCTTTTATATATCCTTTATATATCAGGTGGAAAATATCTGAATAGACAATATGGTCAGCCAAAACCTGCAAAACCCTGACCTGCCTACCTCTGCAAGGCCGCCGCCTTCTGAACTTTCAGCCACAGGCCTCCGCCACCTTCCGAGACTGTGGTCCTCCCACCTCACCCCTTCTCATTCAGCTCAATGTCTTATCTATTTCCTTCCTGGCACTCATCACTATTTACAATGATTTTATTCATTTGTTTACCTGCTTTTCTTGTCTGACTTTTCCATCAGAATGTAAATTCCATAAGGGCAGTGACGATGTCCATCTTTTTTGCCTAGTGTTTGTTGAATGAATAATAATCCTCTATGTAGGAGACAGCTTTCTTTCAGAACAATTTGGTGCATCAGTGACTGGCTGGATGACCATACTAGGCTGTGGCAACTCCAAGGCAGGGGCGGTACCTTGTTCATCTTTATGCTCCCAATTCCTAGCTTAGTACCTGGCACACAGGAGCTCATTGCATCTCGACTGAACTTGTTCATTAATGAACTGCTGTCAACGTGGAGGGCAGTCTCTATTGGAGTACCTCAAGGCTCCACCTTGGGTCCTGTCCGCTCAACTTCTGGATCCAAGGGCGATGGTAGAAGGGCATGCTGATGAAGCCTGGGGATGCCTTAAAGCTGGGAGGAGCTGCAGTGGACAGGGAGAGGAGCTAAGAGAGCCTGAACAGTCGTAAACCCAAAACCCCAGAAACAAAACAAAAAATTAAGAAACCCTGTACCAGGGTGGGAGGAGGGAGAATTAGATGAAGGTAGTCAAAAGGTAAAAAATTCCAGTTATAAGATAAATAACTACTAGTGATATAATGTACAACATGATAGAGATAATTAACACTGTTGTATGTTATAAATGAAAGTTGAGTTCTCATCACAAGGAAAATAATTTTCTCTATTTCTTTAATGTTGTTATCTGTGTAAGATGATGGATGCTCATTAAACCTATTGTGTAACCACTTCATGATGTATGTAAGTCAAATCCTTATGTGGTACCCCTTAAGCTTATACAGTGCCATATGTCAATTCTATCTCAATAAAATTGAACAAAAAAACCAAAACAAAACCACCCTGTACCAACCACAGGATGGGAAGGCAGGGACAGGAGTAGCACCTGTAATGAGGGTCACATGTCCAGGGAGCTCAGGTGACCGCAGTCTGAGATGCTGGGATGGTCCTGAGCCGTGTCTGTATTGGGTGGTGGTGAACAGAATGAAGGAGGGGATAGTGCTGCCTTGACTCCCCCTTTATTTGAGGATTATTTCTACTCTTATTTATAATACTACCCAAGTAAGGCCTGAACTTCGTCTCCTGGGGTACTCAGCAGGCACGGCAGGCCCCCCTCAGAAACCCTCTGTGAAGTCCAGCCTTGGGCTGTGTGGTCCACCTGAAGGACAGGAGGCACCTGCCATAATCGCCTGGCCCTGGGAGCCGCCGGCCTCTTCAGCCTCCAGCTCTCAGCTCTCCAGGTGCTTCTCAGAAGAGCCTCTGCTGCTGTTGGACCTGGCTAATATCTCGCTCCAAGCCTTCTCGCTCTTCTAGGGAAAAAGGCTCTAGTCCTCCCTGTTCCCAAAGCACAAGAGGGGAAGTCACTCTTATCTGGACCTTTCTAAATGATCTCTCTCCTGTCTTGCGCAGCCTTCAAATTCCGGTCTTTTGTCTTTCAAGCTCAAAAAATGTGTCAGGTAGGTGTGTTTGGACTTCCCTGATTACAGTTTTCGTTGTCGCTATTTTTTTTAGCATCTTTAATGATTACCAGTTGGATTTCCATTCCCTGTTTCCTGTTCTGTCAATTCTTTTGTGATGTTATGTTTGGGCACCTCCACTGTGTTGGCATATCCTTGAAATGACCAGCTCACGTGTACCTGTCAGTATTCAGATGCCTTTTTTATTCTTGAGTGCTTTCCTTAATGCTGCCCAAATCAGGAGGACATAAGGATGTCTATATGTAAATGTTAAGACATTAATCAATGATTTTGAAGCTAATGTTATGGCCTGTTACATTATTTGAAGCACAGTTAGATCTCTTCTGTTTCATTCATTATCATCATTGATTGCTTTTACTAGCAGGACATTTTCTATTTTTCACTGTCTTCTCAGTTCTATTCACTGATTTATAATGAGAAAGGCTTATAGAGAGAAGGGCTTAAACATCAGAAGAAGGTGCCCTTAGACTTTCATTTGACAAGCTGCTGGTCCTAGGTCCTAGGTCCGCCCTGCTGGTAGATCTGTTGGAAAATTCAGATCAAGAGTTTTTTTCTTCTAGAGTTATTTAAATTTTTAAAAGGGAAAAATTGTACTATTTTTGTTATCAAAGTCAAGTCTGTTGAAGGCCACACAAAACCTCATGCTCTCAGGAAACCACAGGAATAATTACTTGCTGCTAAAATAGCACCTTCCAAATGCTTACGTGCTAAGTAGATGGACAAGTACACCAGCTGCCACATTAGAATTTTTCAGTCTTCTCCTTGTCAGACAGGGACATTATAGTTGCAGCCAGAACCCAGAGGTCTGTACCACGCAGTTGGGAACACACTTGTGTTCATGCCAAGTCCAGAAATAAATCCTAGATGATGTTTAGGTTCAGCACGACATAAACAGTATTTTAGGAAGCAAACAGTTCAGGAGCCGGAATAATAAGAGATTGGGAATGAAAATAAGGATGTGTGGATAAATGTGCTCTTTTCTTATCACATAGAGTCAAAAATCTGGATGCCATCATCAGGGCAAAGGATGTTCTCAAGACTGAACCTGGTCAGATTTCACCCACCCACTTCAAGAAAATAACTCAGAAAATCTTAAGAACTCAAACATTTCTTTATTGGCTCCAAGAAAAGAATCAAGAAAAGTTTGTAGGAATTTTAGGTAGCTCTTACTTCAGTAGAATAAAGTTATCATTAAAAATATATCAGAATATTTTAATTCCTGCTTGATGGGAATTCTCTATGTCAGGCAAGAAAACTACAAGTTAGTATCTAAGCTCACCCTCCTGTTCCTAAAGATTTTCTGTTAACTATAATTAAACCAAGGAACATCAGAAGGGTAATGGGTTTCCATATGGAGTAGTATACTAAAAATTGGTTCAAAATCAATTACTCTAGGGGGTTTTATTTATAGAACTCCCAAAGAGGAGGTTTAGACAACATTTACTCCCCTCCAACGCTGACTATGCATTCTTGTTTCACTCTGGAGCACAGAGCAGGGACCTGACTTCTAGGGTCCATGCTAAGGACCTGCTGATAAGAAGGCTGTGCTAAGACACATTCTAATTGGTAAAGGTCACTTCTAACATAAGAGTGGGTTTGCCATGTTTTGCCTCAAACTGAACACCCCAAAATACGAATCATCATGTAGAAATGTCAACTGTTTCTTCTGGTCACCTATGACTTTGGCCAAGAGAAGAGCAATGTCCTCTGTGTAATCACACTTGCCCCCTCTACTCAGCACAGAGTAAAAAGGAAGCAGGCTTATGATGTCACGAGAGAGAAGAATGAACAAGGAAGAAGGGAGCCACAGGTAAGGGGAGGCATGTGACTGAACCCGGGTTCAGGACTCCTTCCTGGAGATATACCTTCACTAGGCCATCTGGTTCCCAGAGCTTGGGGTACCTGTGCAGTTCCCTGGGGGTGCCCAAGGGCTGCCAGTGATGACGAGTCCAGCTTCCCGGCTTAGGTCCCTCCTTCCCTGTTCGACCACCAGCAAAGGAGCCCGACACTCCACTGCCCCACCTGCCATCTGCCTCATCCCATGCGGATGGGGAGAACTCTGAGTGTGATGCAGTCAGCAGGTCTTCTTGGGGGTGCTCTGCAGTCACCCCATGCTCATCACCTCCTCCTGCAGCTGCACTGTCTGCCCAGCGTGTGCTCAGCCAGGGCTGCACAACCCTGCAGGCTAGAGGGTGGACTAGGTCCACACAGCAGCGTCAGCCTGCAGCCACTGCCTGAAGGACACATCCCCTCAGTTTGTTCTCCAAAAGCAGCACCTCGTTAACAGCTTTTACTCTGTCCAATCCCCGGATGTCAAGCCTGGTTGCCCATCTGCCCAGCAGCTGGGGAAAGAATTCTTGCAATCGCTGTTAGGCTCCGCTTTCCCAGAGGAGTAAGGGCGAGGGGTTCCCTGGTCAGGGCTGGGTTCCTGTCTGTGCAGGGCTGTGTGCAGGTTTAACTTAGCAAGTCCTAAATGAAGAGCACACTGTAGACACACAGCAAGGGCTCAATACCTGGTGGCTCTTCTCATACTGCTATTGCGAATACACACTTCAAGGAGACGCTACATGTGTAAGAGGGACCTGCTTGATGAGACTCTGCCTGCTGAGGGTTAATCCATCAGCTGCACTAAGGGACAAGAGGAGGGGCAGCAGCTGCCCCCTTCCTCTTTCACAGACGAAACACCCGTCAGGGAGGCAAAGCCCCACCAATAAGGTCAATGGCGGAAGTTTCAAATGTTCTGTGGGGTCACAGTTTGTCCCCGTGCCTCATCCAGTGTTGACACAGATGACTGGCGAAGGTGGTGCTGTGATTTAGGAGCTGGAGGGATGGAAGCAGACAGGAGCGTGTGTGAGAATGCAGCGCTGTTTGCAATAGTTTAAGCTGAAGCAGCTTTAAAACAGTACACATTCTTTGCGGTTAATATTCTTTGGGGTTGAAACTGTCAGCTAAGTGACTCCAGCCACGGTGTCCGAACACGGTATGGCACCTAAGCCTGGGGACCCTGGCCACAGTGCCCGGTGCTGCCACTGTTTGCCGCTCTGGGTCCTTCCCCATCAGCTGCTGTCTGTCAGGGCGGCAGGGACCAGCTGACTGGTTGGAACCGTATGTGCTATTTCTGGGCATAGGATGTGAAGAAGGACATGCCACAGTAAGTCAGGATATGAGTCAGTTATTATAAAGTGTTAAAAAGAACTGTCTTCAAAGCATCCTGAGAGCATTTCACCACGCTAACTACTCTGAAGGAGCTATAGGTTGAAAGACACTTAGAATCACTAAGCCCAGGAGGAACCCTGAAGAACATGGATGATTAACGTTGGTCAAAGGCCTGCCAGTGAAAAGGAATGGATAAGGCTGAAGGTAAAATCCAGAGGTCCTAAAATTTAGAGGCAAAAAGAAAATTTCCAGGACCACATATATCTCCGGCATACTTCCGTCAGACATGCAGAAGCAGTGGAAACACAGGCAGCCTGAAAAAGCTGTGGGACGTGGGTTTGCTTTATTTTCCTTTTAAAACAAAACACTGTATTTTCAGAGCAATGTTTAATGGGGCCAAATTAATGGTGCTAAATTGGTTTTTAAAAAAATCTATTGGAACCGAGGTGTAAAGATACACAAAAGATGTCTCTCTGGAGTGCTGTCTGCAAGAGGGAAAAATTATTAACCACACGACATCCACAAATCAGTTAAATAAATGACGTTATGCCCCTTTGATAGAACCTAAGCAGCTGTCAAAAGGAATAAAGTAATTTAAATATACTGGCATAGAATGATCCGCGATAGCTGTTATGGCAAAAAATCAAGTTGTAGCAAATGTGCATGGCAATCTCATTTTGGTTAAAAAAAGTATGTTTGTATATGCAGAAGAAAAAGTCATTAAGGGGCTTCCCTGGTGGCGCAGTGGTTGAGAGTCCGCCTGCCGATGCAGGGGACATGGTTCGTGCCCCGGTCCGGGAAGATCCCGCATGCTGCGGAGCGGCTGGGCCCATGAGCCATGGCCACTGAGCCTGCGCGTCCGGAGCCTATGCTGCGCAACGGGAGAGGCCACAACAGTGAGAGGCCCGCGTAACGCAAAAACAAAAACAAAACAAAAACAAAAGTCACTAAGGAGCTGGAGAAAACCATTTACAACTGTTATTTGTGGCTTTTTCTACAAGTTCAATGAGGCCTCAGGGGAGGCCTAATGGCCCACTAAGTCCCTGAACGAATGGGTGAAGGCAGTTGGAGGCTGCAAAATCAGCATTTCTCAGATGGCATGAGAAGAGAGGGCTTACAGACATGGGGAGCCCTTTCTTTAACCCTGTCACGGGACCCCTGCTTTCTAGCTCCCAGGTGTGTCCTAGGGCCTGTGTAACGTTCTCTGGCTTCAGGAGTGGGGCAGTTCACTGGCTGGCCATAACCCCACTGCTCCTGTTCAGGGGCTGTAAAGAGTTACCAGTGAGAAGTGACAGCAGCAACGCATCTACTCCAGCCTCTCCCTCCCAGCAAAACCTCCAGGAACTGTCCTCTGTTTCAAGGGCCAGGGCAAGGGAACTTGACCTGCCACTGGGTCCACAGGAATCCATCCTAGCGCCCTCCCTGTCAGGAATTTCCTCTCTGTAAGTAAACAGTCCTCTGGTCTGCTTCCAACAGCCCCTTTACTGGGAAGGTGGGGGAGACCGCAGGCCCATCTATTTAACCGCAGTGCATGGGTCTGGAAACAGTACTGCCTCAGCCTTGTGTTGTGAAGGCTGAAGAAGCCCAGATGTCACTGTTCTTCACAAGCGTTTTCTATTCTCCACAAATCTCCTCTGAACGCCTTATTGTCTCTCCTTTCCCACCCCAGAGCTTCCCTTAGGTAATTCCTATTCATCCTCCAGATTCCGGCTCCAACGTCTCTTCCTCTGGAGAGCCTTTCCCAACACGCCAAGGCCAGATATCCTCCTTACACTCTGATAGACAGTCCCCATCGCAGAGTGTGTATCCCAGCTCTTGTTCTCTATTTATTTCTGTGATAACGAAACTAATGTCTGTTTTCCTCGTTAGAACACAAGCTCCTCCAGGGCAGAAACTGCACCTGTTCTTTCTGCATCCCGAGTGCGCGGTACAGCGTCTGGCACCAAGCAGATAGTAATAAAGGCTCACTCAATAGAAGGCTGCTGCAGAGGTGACTGGGGTGGAATACACGGCACTGGGGGAGGGAGGAAGAGCAGCTGGGAGGGCTCTCTCCTTTGCTGTCACTAGCTGGCCTTCTTTATTTTTTGTCATGTGTCCAAGTGAGTGGTCAGCAAGTGGTACCTCTTAAAGTCTGAAGATTTATGTGAGGTGGGTACTAGTATTACATGACCGTGTTTAAAGGAATGAAGAGGTTACGGCTAAGGCTCCAGAAAGTTTCTCAGTTGAAAGAGCAGAACCTCTGACCATATGACTTCCTGGTTATTTCCTGGGACCTCTTCAGCTCTGGACCCCGGGGCTGCCCAGGGATGCTGGGGGTGCCCTGGAGGATGGATAGAATACAACAGGGGCAGAAATCCTCTGGCAACATCAGAGAAAGACTCAGCCAGCCCCGGGTGAGGGCTGGGGGTCCCGGAAGGGCAGGGTGGGCACTGACCTCGGCTGATGCGCTGCTTCTCCCCGGACAGGATGCCGGGGCTGTCGATGATGCTGATGCTCTTCAGGACCTGATTGGGCAGCTGGGAGCACATGAACCTGGAAGAAAGGGATCAAAGGTGGGATCAGAACCTGCACGTTGCAGAGTGCTCTAACCTCGGAGCTCCTTGGCCTCTCCTGGCTACTGACATCTTCTGAAAAGCGGGGCCTTGGAGGAGATTGATGGCACCTCCACTGGAGACTAGATGCTGGTTCACAGGGCAGCTATCGGAGGGTGGCCTGGCACCGGATGCTCCCTACCACCAGATCCCTTACTGTTAATTTTATTTTAGCTAACGTTTATTGAACACAGGTATTTTACAAACATCATCTCATTTGTTCCTCATATTAATCTCATGAGGAAGGCATCACCGTTTACCTCCGGGAGGTTATTTAACTTGCTCAGGGTCACTCAGAGTTAAGCTTTAAACCCAGGTCGGTGTGACTCCAAAGGCCACCAGCCCCACCCTCCCCTCCTCTATCCTGCTGCTTAGACAAACGTCCCAGGCTTTTCCTCCCTGGGAATCCCATGCTTCCTTCAGGGTCACTGCCCCACTGGGCTGGAGTATCCCAAGCTCTGTCCAGACCCTGCTCACTCCCTAATGTGACAGCGGAGGTACTAGGGCCTGTTTTCACTGTCCGATGCCCCAGGGACATGCTATGGCTCCAGGCTCAGGGTGGGGCAAGCACCTGTGGGCAACACCCCAAATCCTCCAGGTGCTTCGGTGCCCTAAGAGTGGACGAAGGGGCAGGGGTGGGCAGGGCCCTGGCCAAGCATCTCCCAGCCTCCTTCCTTGTCCGTCACCTTCCCGATACCACCTCCTCCTTCTCAACCCCATCCCTCTGCTGTGGTTCCAGTCGGCTGCCCTGGCGTTGGCCTTGGAAGCAGAGTGAAGTGGCAGGAAAATTGCGGCCTGTGCGTCAGCAGACCTGGGTTCAGGTTCAGCTCATCCTTTGCCAGTAACTTGCCTTGGACCCTGGGCAAGGGCTTCCCCATTCTGGGCCTCAGTTTTCTCATGTGTCAATGGAGACACTTGGACCAGGGGTTGGCGAGGTTCTTTTAGCTTTAACACGGTGTAACTCTAGAGGACCAGAGGGAAATGCTTTGTTACTTCCACCCCAGGCAACCTGGGGGGGATCTCTGTTAGGCACTGTGTATGTTTTAAGGCAGAAACTAGAGTGTCTCTCCTTCTCCTATATTGTAAATGTCTAACTTTGGTATCTGTGTGGGCAAAAGGCTTGAAAATCCTTGGGGAAAGCTCAGTTCTTCCATTCAGTGGAAAAGGTGGGATTACTCAGAAAGTAATTATGCTGGGAATGCAGGAGAGGGAGGCCTGCCTGGCCCTCACAGCACATGTGGACAGCACAGCCCCTGGGCAGGCGTGGGCAGCCCTGAGAGAGACATGCAATTACTGACATTGCAAATGAACTTTCACGGAAGGTGCTTGGGGCAAGTTTCTCAGATATTGTTTCCCACATTTTCAAGTCATCCCAGAAAGATGTAGGAATGATAACTATGATCATTTTGCAGCTGGAAAAGTTGAAGCACAGAGCGGTTATGACATGTGAGGCCATCTGCTAATGCGTGGCTGGCTGGAGACTGCAGCCTGATATTTCTGATGTCAAGTGAGTAGAACTCAACCCGTAAAGTTAAAAACCTCATAACATTAAAAATAAGGGGTCAAGTTAATTTATGAGAAGCCCCTCATTTCTGATTTTCTCCTGCCCCTCCACCTTTATAAACCCCACTGCCCAACACTCAGACAGCAGATCTGCGAGAATAAAGTGTACCGGGATCACTACACATTCTCTGTAAGTTCACAGAGCAAAAAACGCCATATTCAAGTCTCTAGAATTGGGGTAGGAACAGAGTACTGAGCACATCTGTGGTGGACTGCATTTCTTGTGGTAATTCGGTCTCTTATCATAGTCCCATCCTTTTTATCAGACGGCTCAAGACATCTGGCAATGCTGAGAAAACTGCACATATGTGAAACTTTTTCACATAAAGTATTCCTGTGAGAGGCAGACCTTTTTCCAGAACCACAAGCTCACACTTGATACCAATTTTTCCAAAACACAAAACCCCTGGATTCTAATGTGAAGTTAACAGAGGGATTCAAAATTTAGAAACCATCCACTCCCTCCATACAAAGAGACAAGGTTTCAACAACTCCCATGCCTCCTGACGTGACAGCAGAGACAAAATGTGTAAGCCACAAAACAAGATGGTCTGATGTGGTGACATCACCATGCAACATACAGGGAGCAGGCCCAGGGCCAGGAGGGGTGACTGCAGACAAAAGGGGGGAGGGGGAGGGGGAGAAAAGAAGAGGGAGGGGAAGGAGGATGGGGTGAGGGG